AAATACAAGAATATAACAAATACATGACTTGCTATTCAGGTTCAGAGAGACTTGAAGTAGTAACCAAGACAGACAATGCTACCTGCTGGTCATCCAAGTTAGACTTTAAAAATTGCCTAATGAATTCACTTCTGCCTCATTGGACAACAAGGTGGTGGAAAGTTGGGACATCTTCTAATCAGTGAAATAAGCTTTAGATCACCTGGAAGAATGTTTCTGGAAACTAATTATTTTAAAAGATCAAACCGTGCCAGCCATCTGGCATGTTGGTTAAGAGTTGGCTTGGAAGTGCCAGCTCTGAGCAGCAGGGCCATGGTTCAGATCCCACATGAGGGCCAGTGACGCTGCGCCCTCTACAGCTAAGATGGTGAACAACAGCTTGACCTGGACCTGGACTACCATGACTTGCCGGAGAACGTGTAGGCTGCAGCGGGGCTGCAGTGGGCTGCCGTGAGCTACTGTGAGTGGCCGTGAGCCACCGTGAGCGGCCGTCCAGTGGCTGGCGACCGATTGCTTCACTCGGGAAGAGCGCAATGATAATTAATACCTACATGAGCTAGTGAAGCGATGTCCTCCACAACTAGACTGAAGAACAAAAGGACAGCAACTTGTCTGTTCCCCTTCCCCAATTCCCCAATGCTATTCCTCTCCCCCATTTCCCAAATAAAAAATATCTTTAAAAAAATTAAAAACAAATAAAAACATAATAGTAAATAAAAGATCAAACCAAGGTGATTAACCATGTTTATTAAGAAAGTCAAAAAAGAGAACCAAAGACATACTCCATAGGATTTTAGAATGATCACTCTTGAAAATGCCATGTGTCTCTATTTCTCAGTCAGTATATCTTCCTATTTCTGAATTTCTTTGAACCTCATTTAAATAGGAATTAAAAAACATGTTCCAGTTACAATGAATATTTGATCCTCTGGAAAGAAACATGAACATGATTGATTTCACTTTTTAAATTCCACAGTTACAAATAAGACGACTTTGGGTTTAATATTGAGGGACGTTTCACAGGTATTCTCTATTCATCAACTCATAAGTTAGTATGTTGAAACTGACCACGCTCATCTACAGAAAAGAGCTGAGTAGGGAACATATTCAGGGAATTTGAAATTATCTCTATAAACTCACCCCTTTGGCATATAAATAAGAGTTTTAGTTCAGAAATGGGCCTTCTGGGCAATATAACTTCCCAATTCATTTCACAGAACTCAAGTGTTTTAGAGACTTAAAAATGGTTAATGGTAAGATTCCATGCTCCATGAAATGCTAAATGCTAATGACAAACAGTAAATGGCACATAGAGCATTTGATAACTAGCTGCTACTTTTTAAAAAACTTTCTATTTCACACTATTTAAAAGAGCTTAAAGAATACAGCAATCAACCTTAATTGTTTTCTGAAACATAAACTAACCAATAATGACTCCAGAAGCAAATTACCCACAGACTAAGTCAAAGCAATTAAAGCTTGAAATCATTTTAACCAGAAGAAGCTTTAAAGGATTTCTAAAGCCAGTACCTACTCTGCAAGAAATGGTCAGACCCCTTGTTTCTTAAATCTTTTTTTTTTAAGTCAAACTAGCAAGAACTCATTATGTCAGTGATTACAATGTTCTTTTAAAATCCGGAAAATTATTACCAATTATAATTTTTTTAACCTAAAGAAACACTAAGCCCTTCAGTATATTGTTCCTAACCTAAAATCCATCACTTATTTAAGTCTGTTTGTTGGCCTGACCTCTGCATAGTTGTGCCCTTACTCGGGCTGACCAGAGCAGTTAACTGAATCTCTAACCCTGTTCTCCAGGCTTTAATCCCCTCCAACAACTGTTCTCAGTTGAGTGACTCAGAACATTGCACTGGTAAAGTATTAACAGGATTGATTTCGAAGAGCTCTCAGGACTTAAACTCAAAACTGGGTTCAAATCCTGTCTTTGCCACTAACCAAATATGTGCCTTAGAGCAAGTTATTTCATTTCTCTGGACCTGTTTCTTCCTCTCTAAAATGGAGATAATCATTACCTACCTCAGGAGTTGCTGAGGATGAGGGGAGGTGATGCTGCAACTCGGCACACAGTGGGCACAACAAATATTTGTTGAAGTTCCTTATCAATTATTATCTTTTTACTGCTTAACGTACACCAGGCTCCAGGCTAAGTGCTGAGTATACAATGGTGAGAAAGATATATAAACAATCCCACCCCCAAGAAGCTGGTATTCATGTGGGGGATATAGAACAAACTAAGAAAATAATTACAAATAATGATGTGTTAGGTGGAAACAAAAGAGGGCTGAAAAGCAAGCATACAATAAGGGAGGGAGAAAGCCACAAAAGGCATCTCCAAAGTGGCATTTAAACTAATTACTGAAGGAATGACAAGGATCTTACTATGAAAATAGGAGGTGTTCAAGGCAGAAAAGACAGCAAGGGAAAACGCTCTGTGAATCCAAAAGGCAGACCTACCTAAGAGATATGGGCTGATATTTCTTCTACTTACATTATTGTTTGGAAACTACTGCCATAAAATTGGTTGAACAAAGGGAAAGTGTCACCCTGGCTAAACCTCCATCTTATAAGAGAAACAGCTTATGACTATTTTATCCTAGAGTATTGTGGCAGTGCATATCTAATATATTTTTACTGAATCAAAGCAAATTTGGGGATTCTAAAAATAAGAGACCTTAGAGGTTATACCTTGCACAAAATACACTGAAGAAAAAAACACACCAAAGATATGTTAAAAACATAAAAGCCTGAACAATCACTTGTGTTAATTCCATCATTTATTTAAACAAAACTAAAAAGTCTAATATTTAAAACCCCAAATCTTTCTGGTTTTCATGATAAAACAGTCATCACTTTTTCCAGGAAAAGTTTTTATTTTAAAGAGTCATATTTTAAATATAAGAAATATTACAAAATTATTATAGCTTTATAAGAAATTTACTTTTGATTAATACATGAAAATTTGTGCATCTATATGTAGAAATATAGTAATACATTTTTAAATAATATCAAAATTTACAATTTCACATATTCATAGATTTCTAAAATTCAACCTCAGAAAAACATTTTCAAATACATGCTATGAGTGTTCATAAAAGAGAAAACTTTTTTTTCCCAGGAAAGTAGAATATTTTACCTGTACGTAGTCAGTACTATCGCATGGTACAAACAGTTCAAAATATAAAATGTTTACTTAAGACTTTCCTTCAGAAATCTTTTTTTTAATTTCCCCCTTTTTTTGCCTGTACTTAAGTCTTATAGAGACTTAATGTCTCCAATTTAAATAAAGATGTCATATCCAATTTTCACCCTGCTAGCAGATAATAACCATGAGTCATTTCTTAGAGCTGGGTTTTCAGGTAATAGGTAGGGACAGGCTGTGCCATTTGTACACTTCACAATCTTAGAAGCATTTTATAACCATGACATGTGCAAGGACTTGTAATTACTCTGATCTCCCTTTCAATCTGTGTCAAGAAAATAATAAATGTGCCTTTTACACAGAGCACTAATGCTTGGGACCATGAGTTAAATAGCATCTCCTATCCCTTTATTCACTTATAGCTTCTAACCTATTACTTCCACCAGAATAATAGCAATGCCATTGGTATCCATATATTTTTCGATGTATCAGAGAGTAAAAGGGCCATTATATGATCAATCTTTTACATCTTTGGTGGATAACTGTGCTCTATTTAGAAGAACCATTATTTTGAAAACTTAATTTGCAGATGAAATTCATTTTGCTTTTGCTACTATGCAAGGTATGCAACAATAAGTGATGGACACCAGGAAGGTTCTCTCTGAACTTGATGAAGGTCTAGCAATAACATGGACCTAAGTAAAGTGTGCTTTACTTGGAAAATGTGTCATTGTTAAAGTTATGGGGGAAATATTACAAATTATATATCATTTGGAAAAATTTTCTCTATTTAGTTAATTATCTGTCATATTATAATATCGGATATAGCAGCCCCAGAGGTTAACTGATTACTGTTTTTATAATTAAATTCTTAAAGAGTTTCACATCATACAATTATATAATTATACTTTTGAAGCATCACAGCAACCCAAAATGTGCCTTTTTGTAATCATCAGAATGTGCCCGTTTGATGAGGACTAAGCTATGTGCAAGGCCCCGCTGAGCCTGATGTTCAGTCATCATCTACCTGCTCTGCCACACAGGAAACACATAGTGTGTTCTCAGTGGCCACTGAAAGATGCCATTTTTCACAGAAGGAAATCAAGAGTGAAATAATCATCCTTCACTGGAAAAAAAAAAACTATAGAACAAGAGAAAATGACAGAGGCCTTCTGAAAATGTTTAGTGGTGCCAATGAAATGGCATGTTAAATAAAAAAAAACCTGATTTGTCTGTCTCATCGTAGCAGCAGGAAGGTAGCCCACACTTGTAGACTGTGACAACTAAAAAGAGGCGCTCTCTTTGTGCACTGACAGTTACCAAAAGGCACGAGGTTCACAAAGAGATATAGACTCAGGGAAGGGAACAAAATGACATAAAGAACCTGACCCTGTTATCAGTTTAGCCATGGAGTTAAGAGAGAAAGACATTTGAAGGAAAAACCTATTAGCATTAAAGTACTGTGTCCAGCTGAAGCCCTTAATAACGATAACTGCCCATTTAATGCTAACAGACAAGCAGAGTTAACAGCTGTACATGGACATGGGTACCTTACACATTAAAATTCTATACAGAAAGACCATGATGAGCACACTTACTTTGTGAGTTTGAGATTTCATAAATCACAGGGAATCTGCACCGTGTCAATCTTCATGCATGCCCAAAAAGGAAGGAGACACTGGCATCCATCAATAATAAACAATGACTCATCATTTCAAATCTAACAGATACTGAATGTCAACTGTAATTGAAAAATTCCAAAAAAACGCAGGGGTGGGGAGGTGAAGGGGAATAAGAGGTCCAAATTTCCAGGTATAAAACAAGTAAGTCATGGGGATGTAATGCACAGCATGAGGAATACAGTCAATAGCATTGTGATAGCGTAGTACGGTGTCAGATGGTTGCTGGACTAATCATTATGATCACTTCTTAAGGTATATAACTATTAAATAACTATGGTGTGCACATGAAACTGATATAATATTGTATGTTAGCTATATTTTAACAAAAATCTTTTTTTAAAAAATAAAATAAAATGTTTTTATGGGCCTCCTAAGTTATCTATTAACTTTCCCATCTCTAAAAATATTAGTTCTTTTTTTGTGTGTGCCCTTCTAAGAGAGGTGATATTAAGAATTAATAGGTATTTGGGGACCTGCAAAAGAAATCCATGAAACAAGTAGCAACAAACTACAGCCCGAGCTGGATCCTATTTTCAAATGATGGGCAAAAGCAATAAGACAATCCACATTCTATGAACTATTTTTGTTACACATTAATCACTAAAACTGCTTTTGTGCAGGTTTCTGATTAACAGGACAAAGACCATCGGCTTTGCAGCATTCAACTTGTGTGAAGGGGAGCGGATGGCCATAAAAGGAAAGTTGCATCAGAAAACAACAGAGTTATTCTAAAGCATTAACCCAGCATGAAATAGGACCTACTTCTGATTTCCTACAATACATCCCTCACAGGTTATAATTTCTGATTACCATGGCAGCACATACTTTCCATCTAACACTTCAGAAGAATGCTTGGTCACACCAGTGTCTGCCTTATTAAATGATCTATGTTGAAACCGTTTATTTCCATTTCTCTTACATCTGTGAAATGTCAAATAAAAATGATAAGACAGTCATTTACCCTCAATTTTCTCAATAATGTAAGGTTTTAGAGAGGATCTGTTAGAACTGTAAAATAATAGGCTAATATATTTCCTCAATTCTCCCTTCCTCCTTTATTTCCACTGGGGGTAAATCTATTCCTGATAGTATCTCCTCTAAAGTTTAAGGGGCTTAAAAGCGCTGCTCTTTCACCCAAAAAGTGTTCTCAAACATAGTTATTTTCTGAGTAAATCTCTTTTTCAAAAGAAAAGTTCTACAAAGACTATAAAAAACCTTCCCTGGAGTGCTTATAAAGGGTAAAATAAAAGTAGGTATGGGTGGGAAAGAAAATGTTTTAAGAACTGTTTTATAAAAATCAAATATAAGTGGTTTCTATCCTATCTGTGTTTTTCACCCTCTTCCACACATGCAAACAAATACACAGCACAACAGATTTCAACAGCAGGTTTTAAGAAGCAAAATATAAAAGTCAACCAATCCTTGTTGTACAGACAGAAAGTAGACTATAGACATCAACAGGCTATAGGAATTTTCTTCCCCTTACTCAGTGGATTAAAAAAATAAAACAGTGCTTTTAGAACTATAGTAGGTATAATTCACATTTCATTTCCTGCATGTATCCTGTTCAAGCTAGTTAACAAAATGAAGATGCTATGAGGCAAATGATACTCCAATCCTAATTTTCCCTGCATTAATATTTTGCAAAAGAACTACAAAGCTAATGCAATCAACTATTTATGTATAGAAAACAAAAGATGAATATTAGTGGGGAACAAAATCATCTATCTAGAAATACTCCCTAAAACTTGCTTTAAAAAGACTTTTGAATGAATATTAAAATTGATATTTTAAGTAATTTATCTTACACATGTTACATATACGACTGCATTAAAAAGTCCCCAGAAGTCAAAATTAGATTTCAAAGAATGTATTCCATACATATAAAACCAAACCAGAGTCCACAACAGTGTCTAAAAACAGATCTTACAGGTTTTTTTAAAAGGAACAATAGCTCATATTTCCAGTGATGAATCATCCACATGATTATCATCCTCGCTTGGCATACCCAATGGCTGCCCAAACATCAAAAACAAATTCATCTGGAAACGCAAAATCTCCGAGAGTCGCGTCAAGTGCCACAGCAAATTCATCCGGATTACCTTTGTCCTTTCCAGCTTCAAATATTGTGGTAGCTATCAAAAATAATTTTGAAAAATTAATCATACATGAAACAGCATCAGAGGACTGAGAAAAATAGCACCAGGAAAATTACTTTCTAAAAGTCACATGCTTAGATATCATTTATTTCTAGTACAAAGTAAAACGACAAGATACTCTCCATCACGTTATCAAGGTGACAAAGGTATTTTTAAACAGTCTGTCCACTGCACCCAGGTTAGCAGTTGCCACCTCTGCCCTCTTCTCCACCTTGTAGCCAGTAGGTTGGGAACCTCTAGCATTCCTACGGGTGGAGCAAAAGGCCCTGAAAAAAAACCCTGTGGCCAGGAAACCAGAGTCCATCCCTGCCCCCACCTCCACATTGTCACTAACTCTCTCGGCCCCCTACACCAGCCCCCACCCTCAACTATGATGGTGCCTAGTCCTCCCTCCCCACAGGAAAAACAAATAAAAGATAACAGCTTGCAATGGAACAGTCAAGCCAGGGAGAAGCGCGGAAAGATATCTTTCTACTCATGAAGTTAAGGTAACATTTTCAGAGCCCCTTTCTAGTTTGGGATAGAAAACGAAGGTGGTGCCCTTGTTCTGTTTTTCTAGTAAGTTGCCTGGGCCACATATTTTATGTCTGGACAATCAGCATCCCCAGTACACATTCCCATGGGGCCTGCCCCAACTGAATGGGGGCCCGTGAGACTCAGCTGATGTTCTTCTCAGCCTCCTCCTTATACGCACTAGCAACCAGAAAGAGACGGTGTGCATGTGATTAGGAACTTGGGTGAAAAACCTCCAGATGAAAGGTAAACACCAAAGTCCAGCCTCTCCTTTCCTCCCAGGCTAAGGTTGAACGAATCAAAGGTTGAATGGTTTCTCTGAATGAGCCAAGAGGTCTGGTCTTTCAGCTAAAATCCACTAGGACGCTTAAGAGCATTTATGGACTGTTCCTTATCTCAAACAGCTCAGTACTAACACGCACAGGCTATGGTGAAGGGGGAGATTCCATAGAAAGGCACCACAATCGGAGCAGGAGTGAGATGTGGATGGGGTGACCTGGTACAGGGATCAAAGCCCTGGTAAGGTGGGGAAGGGCTCCCATGTGGCTGGGCAGCCTGGTGTGTGGTGGAGAGTCACGGGGGTTAAGGATGGCGTGGGAGTGGTGGGGGAGGTCAGTAGCCATACTGATGAGAGCTTAGTTACATACATGAGGATTGAGCACATAGGAGTGTGAGAGTGTGTGTGTGTGTGTGTGTGTGTGTGTGTGTGTGTGTGTGTGTGTGTGTATAATCATGTAAATAATAATGGGAACCAGGTTTGTCACTGTCAGAGAAATAGGGAAAGAAAGAAAACTAGAATGAACCCTGTGGAACTGGAATTATAGAGATCAGTGGAGATAAATACGTATAAGTTTCAACAGACAGATTAAAAAATATAGAGGTAAATACATTCTTTTGACCATCTTCATTCAAATGGATATGATAAAGCGACTATAGTAAAATAGTTACAGTAGAATCTAGATGATAGGTACAGGAGTACTTACTAAAAAGTCTTTCAATTGTACTGTATAGTTTAAAATTATCATAATAAAATATTAAAAAGAGGAACCTGTATACAGACAATGAAAGAAAACTTAAAATATGGTAGATATATTCAATTTAAAGAGAAAGCTTGTTGTTGAGTTTTGGGTTTTATTTTTTTTAGTTAGGATCTGTTTGACGCAGTAAAACTTTGGATGACTTGTAGAATTTACTGTATGCTCATGAGTACTAGCTATATTTTGGAAATTATTTCCTAAGCCATTAAGAAGCACTTTAATGTGTATAAAGAATGCTTCAGCTCTTTTAACAGTCAGTATTATTGTCAAGAAAAGAAGAAAGCTGCTCTCATAGGGCATCTTCACCCAGTGGGATAAGAAACCAAGCGCTTGGGAAACAGTACTCTGTTGAAATTCCCCATATATCTGGAGGTTCTGTCTGTGTCCCTCCTCTCCTTAGGTCATCTTGCCTTGGAGATCTTGGGCACAACCCCAGCTTCACCATAATCTTGCTACAGAGAAGTCCAAAACCTTTGCTTCCATTCCTGACTTCTCTCATGAGTTCCAAATACCCATTTCTGAATAAGTAGTAGACAAGAATTTCTAGGTGTTCTGTTAGCCCATCAACCAAAATGTCCAGAAATCAAATACTATCATCTTCCCTTCTGAAGAAATTGCTATTTTTCTCCTGTTTCCGCCATCATAAGTGGTGAAACCATTCTCACTGTTACCTTTCTCTTCTTGCCTGTGTACCAAACACTGCCTCACCCTGATTCTATGTCTGCTGTTTCTGCAATCTGCTCCTTTGCATTCATTCCCACAACACCATGCCATCTCTTTAATCTCCATTTCTAGTCAGCAAACCATCCTACATAGGCACCTTCGATGTCTCTTTCTAAAGCACAGCTCTGATCCTATCAGGTAACGAGAGGAAAAGACCAGGAAATTCCTTTCGATCCTGGGATTGTCTGCGTCATTTCCACATGGAAAAATTTTCCTTAGGTCACCGATGCTTGTCTTAAAAGCTCTAAACCTTGATCTGGCATTCTGATCCAATGCATCCCCGGCTCCCAAAAGGCCGTACACCTCTAGACTAATGCTATGCCCTTGTATGCTGACCTTTCAAAATGCCATCTTTTCTCCCTCCTGCCTTTGCTCAGGATAACCACCTCCTATTCACTAGCTCCACCATCAAAATCGTATCTCTCCTCATAGTTCCTTCCCCCAGGAAAAACTGTGTCCACATCTGGAAGTGATGCCTGCACCCCCTTAAAGCCTTATGCCACTACTCTTCAGACTTGAAGGTACAAAGAAATTTCCTGGGATCTTAGCAAAATGCAGGTTCTGGTTCAGCAACAAGAACCTGGTTCTGCCACAAGTCCTGAGATTCTGCATTTCCAACACCTCCTAGGTAATGCCAGTCCCTGGGCCACAGTTTGAGTAATCAGGTCTTATAGTACATATTTAACTTTGCTCTGTATTGTCTGTCTTATCATTATTTTCACCTACATATTTTATTAATCTCCAGGATCCCTTGAGGATTTACTGATGATTGATGTGGTGTCCCGATTAGAGAATAAACTCTTAAGAGATCTTGAATAGCAAACGCTGTCTTTTATGCCCTTAGGAATGAGTTCAGTGCCTCCTGCATAATAAATGCTGGTGGATGGGTATGCACAGGAAGATTAGTTACATTGAAATAATTTTTACCCTCATACAGTGAGCATGCACTGGGTAAAGTGAAGCCCAGAACTTCGGTCCTATAGCCAGGAGGTGAAAAAGGAGTATTCAAAACTTAAAGGTAAGTATTACAAAAGGTGGACTCAAGTTCACAATTTTGCTTAGCCTATCATTTTAAATATATCTCATAGGCCCTACAGATAGCATTATTGAGACAGTTCCCTAAAGATCACACTGACACACGGGTGAGAGACAATCTATTGGGTCTTCGGAAAAGTCGTGACGCATGTTTGCAACAGATGGCACTAGTTCATTTTTGGAAGTACTAGAGTCATTCACATCTATATTATTGCTGTCACTTGACAGCTGACAGTTCTAACTTCATTCTTTAAAAAAATTGAGTGATTTGGTTGAGTTATGGAAATTTTACAACAAGTTGAAGATGGAAGACCAAATTGTGCATTTTTGCCATATTTTACTCTTTTACTTCCATAAAGGGAAGAACGCGCTTCAAGCTTGTGAAAAGTTGCATAAAGTTTACGGTGACAATGCTCTTCAAAAACGTCAGTGCCAACGATGGTTCATGAAATTCTGTGCTTGTGATTTTGATCTAAAATGACGCTCCTCGATGAGGGAGGCCCACCGAGGTTGATGACGATAAAATAAAGGCATTGATCAAGTCAAACCCATGTTACATGACACAAGAGATTGCAGAAACATTGAACATCCATCATTCAAGCGTTCGTGACCACCTGAAGAAGTTGGGATATGTAATCAAGCTCGATATTTGGGTTCTGCATGAACTCAAAGAAGTTCATTTGATGGCGCGTATAAATATCTGCAATACGCTCATTAAATGTGAGAAAAACGATCCTTTTTTGAAGTGACTGATAACTGGTGATGAGAAGTGGATTGTTTACAACAATGTGGTGCACAAACGGTCTTGCTCCCGAGGTGATGATTCGCCTCAAACGACATTGAAAGCAGACATTTATCAGAGGAAGGTTATGCTCTCGGTGTAGTGGGATTTTAAAGGTGTTGTGTTTTTCGAGCTCCGACCAAAAAACCAAACAATCAATTCAAATGTGTACCGTCGGCAGTTGAACAGTTTGAATGAATCCATCATCCAGAAACCTCCAGAGCTCGTTAATCGTAAAGGAGTTGTGTTCCATTGCAACAACGCGAGACCACACACAAGTTTGATCACCCGTCAAAAATTATCAGAGTTTGGATAGGATGTGTTGCCACACCCACCATACTCGCCTGACCTTGTGCCGTCAGACTTCCATTTGTTTCACTCTCTTCAAAACTCCTTGTGTGGTATAATGTTCAATTCAGATGCTGTAAATCAGCACCTTGTTCAGTTTTTCGCAAATAAAGACAGGTCCTTCTATGAACGAGAAATTATGAAGTTCAATGAAAAATGGCAAAAGATTATCAAACAAAATGGGCAATATATCATTGATTGATCTTTGTTCTTTATATAAACAAATGACTTTTGAAAAATATAGACAAAATACATCATGACTTTTCCGAAGACCCAATAGATGAGGAAGAAATAAGATGCATATAGATAAAAAATATAAGAAAATCTACAGAGCATTCTGAAGCAACAGCTAACAGTGCAGATAATTGATGCTCTTTAATGCTGGGGGAAACAATGACAGGGATCAGATGTCACTGATGGAGACTGAATTAACTAACTCTCTCTCTCTCTCTCTCTCACTCACACACACACACACACACACACACACACACACACACCACACACACCACACACACCACTCTGAAGCAACAGCTAACAGT